TTTGTTAGGGTTTCCTACTTGTATCCCCCTCCTACCTAGTTTCATCCATTCTCGTTCTATTCTAGATTCTAACATGGTATCACGAGCCTAGGTTGCTACCTAGGACCGCTTTCTACTATGGGCCCACTATTTCGCTAGAAGCGCCCTCGTGCGTCCTACCTTACGTGCGCCCTCGTGCGCCTTTCTCTGCTAGTGCGCCTTCGTGCGCCCTCGTGCGCCCTCGTGCGACTTTCTCTGCTAGTGCGCCTTCGTGCGCCTTCGTGCGCCCTCGTGCGCCCTCGTGCGCCCTCGTGCGCCCTCGTGCACCCTCGTGCGCCCTCGTGCGCCCTCGTGCGCCCTCGAGCGCCCTCGTGCGCCCTCGAGCCGCCCCTGCAGGTCCGTCAGGCCCCCGAGCCGCCTCTGCAGACCCGTCAGGCCCCCCCCGAGCCGCCTCTGCAGGCCCGTCAGGCCCGAGAGCCGCCCCTGCAGACTCGTCAGGCCCGCGCGCAGCCTCTGCCCGACCGCGCGCCGCCCCTGCATGCTCTCGCCGCCCGCCGCGTCGCCCTGCCCGCGGCGTCGTCACCTGCCCGCGACGTAGCCCCTGCCCGCGGCGTCGTCGCCTGCCCGCGGCGTCGTCGCCTGCCCGCGGCGTCGTCGCCTGCCTGCGGCGTCGTCGCCTACCCGCGACGTAGCCCCTGCCCGCGACGTCGTCGCCTGCCCGCGGCGTCGTCGCCTGCCCGCGGCGTCGTCGCCTGCCCGCGGCGTCGTCACCTGCTCGCCGCGTCGCCCTGCCCGCGGCGTCGCCACCTGCTCGCGGCGTCGCCCTGCTCGCGGCGTCGTCACCTGCTCGCCGCGTCGCCCTGCCCGCCGCGTCGCCCTGCTCGCGGCGTCGTCACCTGCTCGCCGCGTCGCCCTGCCCGCGGCGTCGTCACCTGCCCGCCACGTCGCCCTGCCCGCGGCGTCGCCACCTGCCCGCCGCGTCGCCCTGCTCGCCGCGTCGCCCTGACCTAATCCGCGCCTGGCCTCTGGAGCAGCCGCCCCTGCAGCAGCCGCCCCTGGCCACTGGAGCAGCCGCCACTGCAGGAGCCGCCCCTCGCCCCTGGAGCAGCCGCCCCTGCAGCAGCCGCCCCTGGCCCCTGGAGCAACCACCGCTGCAGCAGCCGCCCCTGGCCCCTGGAGCAGCCGCCACTGCAGCAGCCGCCCCTGGCACCTGGAGCAGCTGCCGTCGCGGCCCGGCCTCGCCCTGCAGCAGCTGCCGCGGAGCTCCCTGCTGCGGCCCGGCCCCGCCCTGCAGTTGTAGCGGCCCCGCTGTCGCCACCGACTTGCGCCTGCCGCGCCGACCACTGGTGAGCATTGCCCTGCCAGCACTGCTACCGCTGCTACTGCTGCTACTGCCTTTTCTACTCCCACTGCTACTGCTCCTGCTGTTACTGCTGTTACTGCCGCTACTACTGCTACTGCTGCTTCTGGCGTGGCCAGATGCAGCTCCAGGGCCGTGCGCGTGAGTCCCTCACGCCCCAGCAGCTTCGTGAGTGGTACGCTAGTTGGGGCTGTCGGGGTGGCCGTAGTGGTAGTCGCTCTGGAGTGGGTCGGTCGGGAGCTTCTGGTAGTGGACAGGTGCAGCTGCCGTGTCCTCTTTCGCCCCAGCAGCTTCGTGCGTGGTACGCTAGTTGGGGCTGTCGGGGTGGCCGTAGTGGTAGTCGCTCTGGAGTGGGTCGGTCGGGAGCTTCTGGTAGTGGACAGGTGCAGCTGCCGTGTCCTCTTTCGCCCCAGCAGCTTCGTGAGTGGTACGCCAGTTGGGGCTATCGGGGTGGCCGTAGTGGTAGTCGCTCTGGAGTGCGTCGTTCGGGAGCTTCTGGTAGTGGACAGGTGCAGCTGCCGTGTCCTGTGAGTGAGGCTGCCGCTCTAGGTGCTAGTGCGTCTGTTGCCCTAGGTGCTGGTGAGGCTACCACTCCCGGTACTTGCGTGTCTGCTACCCCAGGTGCTGGTGAGGCTGCTGCTCTAGGTGCTAGTGAGTCTGCGCCCCCTGGTACTGAGTCGACTGAGGCACTGCACACCTTCACTCTGGACTCAGGTGCTTCTCGCTGTTTCTTTCGTGACCGCACTGCCCTTGAGCCGCTTGCTCGGCCAGTTGCTGTCTCCCTCGCTGACCCCTCTGGGGGTCCGGTCATTGCGACCTCCTCCACTGTCCTTCCTTGTCCTGCGGTTCCGTCGGGCACACTGTCAGGTCTCCACCTCCCCTCGTTCTCTACGAACTTGGTGGCGGGTTGTGCGCTCCAGGACGGGGGTGTTCACCAGTTCACCCCTGCCTACGAGCGCGTGACACACTGCACATGTGCTCGGACGGGCCGTCACCTGGCTACCTTCACTCGGCAGCCGAGGTCGGACCTGTACACACTGACCACTGAGTCCCCTCAGGTAGCTGCGTCTGCGTCTGCGTCAGGTCAGCTGTCGGCCCCCTGCTCGTGTCGCTCTCTGGCGCACGAGACCGTCCTCTGGCACCACCGACTTGGTCACCCGTCCGTGCAGCGCCTTCGTGCCATGCACAAACGGTAACTTGTCTCTGGTCTTCCCAGGGTTCTCCCTCCCCTCCCACCCTCGCCTGCTCCTCCCTGTCTTCCCTGTGTCGAGGGGCGGCAGCGCGCCGCTCCTCACTCCTCCTCGTTTCCCCCGACGACTGCTCCCTTGCAGACGCTCCACATGGACGTGTGGGGCCCAGCCCGCGTCCGTGGTCAGGGTCAGGAGAGGTACTTCCTGATAGTTGTTGACGACTACTCGCGCTACACCACGGTCTTCCCCTTGCGCACCAAGGGTGAGGTCCCTGATGTTTTGATCCCTTGGATCAGCGCTTCTCGTCTCCAGCTCAGCGAGCGTTTCCACTCAAACTTTCCTGTCCTGCGCTTGCACTCTGACAGAGGTGGTGAGTTCTCCTCCGACCTCTTGGCAGCCTACTGTGCGGAGCACGGCATTCGCCAGTCGTTCACGCTTCCGGCCTCTCCACAGCAGAATGGGGTTGCTGAGCGCCGCATTGGCTTGGTCATGGAGGTCGCTCGTACCTCCTTGATCCATGCGGCTGCCCCCCACTTTCTGTGGCCGTTTGCAGTCCGATACGCTGCGCATCAGCTCAACCTCTGGCCCCGTGTCTCCGTTCCGGAGACTTTGCCGACACTGCGTTGGACAGGAGAGGTTGGCGATGCGTCACGCTTTCGGGTCTGGGGATCTCGAGCCTTTGTTCGCGATACGTCCGCGGACAAGCTCTCCTCCCGCGCTGTTCCTTGTGTCTTTCTTGGCTTTGTCCCGGACGCGTCTGGTTGGCAGTTTTACCACCCCACCTCGCGCCGTGTCCTGCCTTCTCAGGACGTCACTTTCGACGAGTCCGTCCCCTACTACCGCCTCTTCCCCTACCGCACTGCCCCGCTTCCCCCCCCGCCTCTCTTCCTCGCGCCAGGTGCTGCTGTGGTAGACCCCCTCCCCCCTCAGGGTGCCGCTCCCTCAGGTGTGTCCCAGGTAGACCCGGTTGAGCCTGTCGAGGTAGCTGTCGACTCTCGTCCTGCTAGGGGTGCTGAGCCTGAGGGTGCTGAGCCTGCGCGTGCGGAGCCTGGGGGTGCGGAGCCTGGGGGTGCGGAGCCTGGGGTTGCGGAGTCTGGGAGTGCTGAGCCTGGGGGTGCTGAGCCTGGGGGTGCGGAGCCTGCGGGTGCTGAGTCTGGGGGTGCTGAGTCTGGAGGTACTGAGCCTGGGAGTGCTACACCTGGAGGAGCTCTCTCCTCACAGCAGCTGCGTGAGTGGTACTTACAGTACTGCAGCCTCAGGAGAGGTGCTTCTGGAGCCAGGAGTACTGCTGGAGCTGGTGCTAGTGCTTCCCCTCCTAGGCGGGAGCTGCCCTCTCCCCAGCGGCTCCGAGAGTGGTACGCACGGCGCTGCAGTCTTCGGAGTGGCGCTCCTAGTGTCGCGGACCCAGCTGCTGGAGGTTCTGCTGCTGGCGCTGCTTCTGGCGCTGCTGGAGGTACTGCTGGTGCTGGAGCTGCTGGTGCTGCTGACGCTGCTGGAGGTGCTGCTGGTGCTGGTGGTACTGCTGGTGCTGCTGGAGCTGCTGGAGGTGCTACTGGTGCTTGGGCTGCTGGAGCTGCTGGAGGTGCTGCTTCTTCTGGAGGTGCTGCTGGTGCTGCGGACCCTGGAGTTGGAGCTGCTGCTGGTGCTGAGGACCCGGGCGTTGGAGCTGCTGCTGGTGCTGCGGACCCGGGCGTTGGAGTTGCTGCTGGTGCTGCGGACCCTGGAGTTGGAGCTGCTGCTGGTGCTGAGGACCCTGGAGGTGGAGCTGCTGCTGGTGCTGAGGACCCTGGCGCTGGTGTCTCTGCTGGTTCTGGAGACGCTGCGCGGCCGCGGCCGTACTTCGTTCCGCTCCTTCAGCAGGTTCTTGGTCAGCCTCCTCCTCCTTGTCCTCCTCCCTCCTTAGAGTGTCCTCCGTCTGTCCAGTCGCAGTCACAGTTACCGTCTGCCTCCCCTCTCCCTGGTCCTTCTCCTTACACTGGTCCGACTGGAGGTGTTACGGAGCGTCGTGAGCCTGAGTCTCGTCCTGCGTCGCCTGAGTCTCGTCGAGCGTCGCCTGTTCGTGCTGCTCACACTGGTCGTCGTGTCCCGCGTGAGAAGAAACGAGGAGTGAAAAAACTATGAATGAATTGGGTACAAGTACTAACCCTAATTGGGTTGTACCCCTTATGGGCTACCCCACTATAGCCTACACAATATGCATGAGCTATATGTTCTGACACACCCCCATAGGCAAAGTGGGGGAGAACAAGGGGTCACAAGACCAGTCAAGCAAAGCACAGCAAAGCAAGCTCAGGGTGGATCACAAAGTCACCACACATTCCGAGCACAAGTTCAAGGCCACAAGGCCAGTTCACATGCAGGAGTACATATATATAAAAAGGCTAGACAAGCAAGAGCAGGTATATATATATGTAACAGTACAAGCAAGGTCAAGAGGTGAGCAAGTGAGGCAAGGTAGGCACAAGGCCCAGCTAAGTACAGAAGCGCTGATGGTCACAAGGCGCAAGCGCCTTGGTGAAGATATCAGCAGTGTTGGCCTCAGAGGCCACGTACGCAAGACGCAGCTGACCACGTTGCTGCAGCTCACGAGCAAGAAAGTAGCGGAGAGCAATGTGCTTCGTTCTGTGCTCCAGTCGCTGCTCCCGACACAAGGCCAGCATGGCCTTGTTGTCTACGTACAGCACTGGAGGAGAACGAGGCGGCTCTCCGAGGTCAGTCAGCAGGTAGGTGAGCCAGCGAAGCTCCTGTGCAGCCATGGCTCCTGCGTAGATCTCAGCCTCACAACTGGAGCCGAGAACAGAAGACGAGCGAGTAGCCCGCCACGAAACAGAGCCGGAACCAAGGCTGAAGGTGTAACCCTGTGACGACCGCTGCGTAGCCTGGTCGTCAGCCCAAGAAGCGTCTGCGTGCCCAGTAAGGACCACTGGACTCTGCCCTCCAAGCACAAGCCCCATGCCCGACGTACTGCACAAGTAGCGCAACACCCTCTTCGCTGCAGCCATGTGCTCCGGTCTGTGTCTCCCAGGAGCAACATAGCGTGCGAGAATGCTAAGAGGGTATGCAAGGTCAGGTCGTGTGCAGGTCATCAGGTACATGAGGCAGCCAACAAGCTCTGGGTACGGGCCACTCGACTCTACGGACTCATCCGAAGGCAGAGCTGAGAGCGAGTGGCGAGTAGGCAGAGGAGTGGCCTGAGGCGAGGAGTACGTGAAGCCGAAGCGCTGAAGGACCTGCTGCACCATGTGTGACTGAGTCAGGGTAATGGTGCGGCGTGCTCTGTCCCGAGTGATCTGCAAGCCAAGGTAGCTGCGCAGTTCACCCAGGTCAGTGCACGTGTGTCTCTTCTGCAGCTCGGACTTCACGTGGGCGAGTCCAGCAGTGTCAGCTGTGGCAAAGACCAAGTCGTCGACGTACACGAGGATGTAGAACGGCGGCAAAGAAGTGTCGGTGCGCAGAAACAACGACGGGTCGGCAGTAGAGGGAGCAAACCCAAGAGCCGCAAGTGTAGTCCTCAGTGTGTCGTGCCACTCACGCGGTGCCTGGCGGAGACCGTAGACTGGCCGCCGTAGGCTCCACTGGGTGCCAGGAGGAAAAGACCCAGTGAAACCAGGTGGGCGACGCAGCCAGATCTCCTCGTGCAGGCTGCCCTGCAAGAAAGCAGTGCTGAAGTCAAGAGAGTGTAGCTCGTAGTCACGGTGAGCAGCTACGTGCAGCAGTACCCGAAGAGTGGTCATCTTCGGGGTGGGAGAGAAGGTCTGAAAGTAGTCAACTCCCTGCCGCTGACTGAAGCCACGAGCCACGTAACGCGCCTTGAAGACAGGCGGAGAACCCGGCGGTCGCTTCACCCTGAAAATCCACATGCCACTGACGATGTTCGCCCCAGGAGGGGGAACAGCGTCAACGTAGGTGCCTGTGGACTTCCAGGAAGCCATCTCTGCGTCCATAGCTGCCTGCCACTGAGAGGAGTAGGGACCCTCTATCGCCTCCGCGTAAGAGCGCGGAGTCGGGATGTCAAGTGCATCCGGGTCTCCCTCAGGGGTAAGCAGTACGGACACGAGATGAGGTGAAGCAGCGGCCAAGCACTGGAACTCCTCCTGCCTGTCCTCAAGGACGTCCGTGCCAAGGGCACACTCACCCCCGACGGACGGAGGACAGACAGACTCAGACTCAGCAACAAGACTGGCGACGTAGTCTAGGCGACAGCGAGCAGCAAAGTCGACGAGCTCAGCAACTAGGGCAGACGCAGCAGTGGACTCAAAGGAAGGGTCAGTGACAACAGTAGCAAGGAGACGCGTGACAGTAGGACTGGCAGCACGAAGAGAGTCCGACTCCGGGTCGGCAAGAGCAGGAAGAGAAGACTCAGGAGGAGAAGGCAAAGGGGCACGCAGAGGAGCAGTGGACGGACGCAGAGACATCCGGTGCGTGCCAGGGACAGGAGGAGGACGCTGACGCGAACCGCGACCACTAGTGCGAGCAGCACGGACAGGCGACGCAGGGCGAGACGCAGGCTCACGACGCTCAGCAAGACCTCCAGTAGGACCAGTGTAGGGAGACGGAGCAGGCAGTGGGGAGGCCGGCTGTAACTGTAACTGCGACGGGACAGGCTGTGGACACTCTAAGGGAGGAGGAGGACCAGTAGAAGACGGGAGACCAAGAACCTGCTGAAGGAGCGGAACGAAGTACGGCCGAGGCCGCGCGGCGACTCCAGACACAGTAGGGAAAGCACCAGCACCCCCTGTGGCAGCACCAGCACCAGTAGCAGCTCCAGCTCCAGTACCCCCAGCAGCACCAGCAGTACTCCCAGCAGGACCGCCTCCAGGACCGACAGCAGTAGCCTCCGCGCCAACACCCGCAGCAGCTCCAGCTCCAAAAGTACCCGCAGGTCCAGCAGCTCCAGTACGCCCAGTACGAGCACCTCCGGGACCCGTGGCACCAGCTCCCTCAGCAGCAACAGAAACTCCAGTACCCGCAGCTCCTCCAGCTCCAGCAGCTCGCCTCCAGCGCCGGGCAAACCACTCACGCAGCTCCTGTGGAGAGAGTGGCTCCCGGCGAGAAGAAGCACCCGGAGAACCGCCAGGCACAGCACCTGCAGGCCCAGCTCCCTCAGGCTCCGCACCCCCAGGCTCAGCACCTCCAGGCGTAGCACCCCCAGGCTCAGCACCCCCAGGCTCAGCACCCCCAGGCGTAGCACCCCCAGACTCAGCACCCCCAGGCTCAGCACCCCCAGTCGTAGTACCCTCAGGCTCAGCACCCCCAGGCGTAGCACCCACACGCTCAGCACCCCCAGAGTCAGCACTCCCAGGCTCAGCACCCTCAGCAGCACCAGAGTCACCAGCGACCTCGACAGGCTCAACAGCGTCTACCTGGGACACACCTGAAGGGGCAGGACCCTGAGGGGGGAGGGGGTCTACCGGGGGGGGACCTGGTACAAGGAAGAGCGGTGGCGGGGGGAGGGACGGAGTGCGGTAGGGGAAGAGGCGGTAGTAGGGTACCGACTCGTCGAACGTGACGTCCTGGGAGGACAGAACACGGCGAGAGGTGGGGTGGTAGAACTGCCACCCTGGGGCGTCAGGGGGGAAACCCAGGAAGACGCAAGGAGCAGCACGAGGGGACAGCTTGTCCGCAGACAAGTCGCGGACAAACGCCCGAGATCCCCAGACACGGAACGCAGACGCATCGCCAACCTTCCCCGTCCACAGTAAAGCTGGGGAGGTCTCCGGCATGGAGACCCTGGGCTGAAGGTTGATCTGATGCGCTGCGTACCGAACCGCAAACGGCCACAGAAAATGGGGGGCAGCCGCATGCATCATGGACGTACGGGCGACGTCCATGACCATGCCAATGCGGCGCTCAGCAATCCCATTTTGCTGTGGAGAGTCCGGAAGCGTGAAGGTCTGGCGGATGCCTCGTGCACGACAGTAGGCTCGCAGAAGGCCAGAGGAGAACTCTCCGCCTCTGTCAGAGTGCAGACGCAGAACAGGAAAGTCCGAGCCGAAGCTCCGCCTGAGCTGGAGACGAGCTGCGCGGATCCAGTCGATCAACACCTCAGTGACATCACCCTTGCTGCGCAAGGGGAAGACTGTGGTGTAACGCGAGTAGTCGTCAACCACCAGCAGGAAGTAGCGCTCGTGACCCTGTCCACGGACGCGGGCCGGGCCCCACACGTCCATGTGAAGCGTCTGCAGCGGGGCCTCTGTCGGAGGAAACTGGGAGGAGTGAGGGGCAGCCCGCTGCCGCCCCTCGACACAGGGGACGCAGGTAGGGCCAGGCCCCGGAGGAAGGGGAGGGAGGGACCGGGGAAGACCAGAGACAAGGACACGGGAGGCCATGCCTCGGAGACGAAGCAGGGAGGGGTGACCAAGGCGGTGGTGCCAGAGGAGAGTCTCGTGAGACAGGAGGCGACACGAACAGGGGGCAGACTCAGGACCAGACCTGGACGCTGCAGCAAACACCTGACCCGACGCAGCTACCTGACCAGACGCAGTGACTGGAGGAGACTCAGTGGTCAGGGTGTACAGGCTCGACCCCGGCCGACGGGTAAACGTGGCCAGGTGTCGGCCTGTCCGAGCGTCCGTGCAGTGGGTCACCCGCTGACTCGCAGGAGTGAACTGGTGAACCCCCGCATCCTGTAGGTCAGCACCACTCACCAAGTTCGTAGAGAACGAGGGAAGGTAAAGACCAGACAGGGTGCCAGAGGGGGCCGCCGGACACGGGAGGACAGTGGAGAAGTGAGCAAGGACAGGACCCCCAGAGGGGTCTGCCAGAGAGACTGCAACTGGCCGGCCAAGCGGCGTGAGTGTGGTGCGGTCTCGAAAGAAGGAGCGAGAAGCCCCCGAGTCAAGGGTGAAGGTGTGGGAGGCCGAAGCCGACGCAGAACCTGAGAGAGCAGACTCACCAGCACCTGAGGGAGCAGACGCACCTAGAGCAGCAGCCTCGCTAGCACCTAGAGCAGCAGCCTCACCAGTACCTAGAGCAGCAGTCTCAATGCCCGGGTCGGGCGGAAAACACCGGTAACAGTCACCCTCATCACTAATAGTCACAGTATACATGGCAGCAAGAATAGCATCAAAGTCAAGGTCAAAGACAGCTACACCCGCCCTAGACAGCTCACCCCAGCGGGGGATCTCAGTGGCCTCAGGGAACTGGTGACGCCAAGCGTCCGTCAGGCGGCCAAAGCAGCGCTGGGTGGAGTGCGCACCCCCGCACTGCTCACCCGCGCGGTCGCCGGTGCGTAGGACGTAGGTGCACGGGCCAGTACCCCCACCCCTCTGGCGTGCAGTGTACCACTCACGGAGCTGCTGAGGGGAGGGGATGTCACGAGTGCGCTGCTGCTGCTGCTGCTGCTGCTGCTGCTGGCGCTGACCACCACCGGAGCCGCCCCTCTGTGCAGCGCCACCCCGACCAGCTCCACCTCCTCCGCCACCTCCTCCTCCACCGCCGCCACCTCCGCTCCCACCGCCACCGCCACCGCCGCCTCCGCCTCCACTGCCGCCACCGACACCTCCGCACCCGCCACCACTCCCACCGCCACCCCCACCCCCTCCACCGCCTCCACCGCCGCCTCCACCGCCCCCGCTAGCTCCTCCAGTGCCCCTGCCCCCCTTGCCCTTGCCAGGGCGACGTCTCCCGCTAGGGGTAGACGCCGCACCGACCGACTCAAGCCCAACGAGGTCGGCCGCAGCAGCAGAGGCAACAGAGGGCAAAAGGGGGGAGGGGGAACACCCCTCAAAGATGGGGGTGCGAGGGTCACCACGAGAGGCTCCTACAGCGACTATGCTCTTCTCTGCTGCTAGGAGGGACTTCTCGAGGAGGTCAACGGTGAGAGTGGTGGGGCAAACGGAGAGGAAGTGGTCCCTGACTACGCGAAGGGAGTCAGGGAGCCGGGTGACTATGTAGTAGAGGGTGATGTACATGGGGGGGGGGTTCTTGGCGCAGAACTCAGCAGGAAGCGCAGCGCGGTAGCGAGTGTCACTAGTGCGGAGGTGCGTAATGAGGTCAGCGACTGTGGGAAAGGCAGCAAGGTCAGGGAAGAGGTACGGTAGCATGAGGCGGCTCAGTGCAGCAGTGGCAGGGGAGGAGTAGCGCGCAACTACAGCGTCGTACAAGGTCTGAGCACTCTTGTACTGGCTAAAGTGCGCACGCTCAGAGGTAGGCAGGTGGCGACGCACAGCAAGACGTGCAGCAGCATCGCGAGTGGCCCACTGTGAGCGAACAGTGGCGTCGGCATTAGCAGCAGGGGCAGGAGAGGCACCAGAGGTGAGGTCAAAGAGGGAGAGACCGTCTGCCCTATCGCACTGTAGGAAAAGCTGCAGGTCATCTACCCAGACGTCAAAGTCAATGGCCCGACCCTCAGCGTCAAAGGCGAGGACACTAGGGGTAGCCATGACAGCAGTAGACTAGCAGCGCGAACAGTAGGGTGAGGGCAGTGCAGGGACAGAGGCGCTGCACTTACCAGACAGGGCGACTCGGGTGGCTCAGCGGCTCTGCGGCTCGGCAACTCGGCGGCTCGGGCGGCTCGGGCGGCTCGGCGGTACGGCGGCTCGGCAGCAAGCGCGGCTCGGCGACACGGCGGCTCGGGCGGCTCGGGCGGTACGGCGGCTCGGGCGGTACGGCGGCTCGGCGGTACGGGCGGCTCAGGTGGCGCGGCGAGGCCGCGTGGGGAGCGGCGGCGGGGCCGAGTGGAGCGGCGTCGGCGGGTGCAGTCAGCTGCGGCAGCAGCCGCGGCCCCAAGGGA